GCAGTGTTCGTCCCCCTGTTTTGTTTTCGGGCGTCAGTGCGCGGCCGTTTTGTTTTCATTTTCGCGGGCGACGTTTTGGATCGAAACGGGTTGTTTGGGGAATTCCGCCTTTTTTTATTGTTGTTCACCGGTTTAAACGCAAACGGCGTCTAAAGCAAGAGTGGCATTTTGTTCGCTCCCTGGGCCGTCTTGTTTCTCATTCGAGGTTGGACTCTTGATGACGCGAGGGCAGATTCCACACAGTACTTGCGGGGACGGCGGCGGATTTCCAACCAGTTTCATGTCTTGTCTCGCCGGCCGCATGCGTCAGGAGCTCTGGTTGTGAGGGAGGGAGGATCAAGTCATATTCGCCGTAAGGGCACACAGCCGCGCGCGCGGCCCGCACTCAGACTCAGCACACGTTCTCTGCTTGCTACGAGGACGGGTGACGAATGTCCCCCCCGCGGGTCCCCCAGGGGTGTCGCAAGGGTGCGTTGGAGGGTCGTCGGGATGCCTTGCGGGCCTTCGGTGGCCCGACACATCGCAGAGTCGAGCACCGCACAGCCTGGACTTCGCATGGCACTGGCGCGTCTGAGGCTGTCAGTCTGAGACGAAAGCAACACACAACTCGCTCGCGCGGTTCCGAGGTGAATGCCACATTCAAGCAGCATTCGTCCTGTGCCGAATCTGGCCGTTCCACCCGAATAGCCCCCCCCCCGATCGGGCCCAGTCCAGTAGTCTTGTAAGTGCTCGGACAAAGGACATCCTCTCGGGAGCCGCCTCTTCTGATGGGCCTGTCTTCCACCACCACCATCACCTGGAGGGGGGGAGGAGGTGGAGGATGAGGAGGAGGAAGAAGAGGAGGAGGAGGAGGAGGACCCCCTCCCCCTCCTACTTCTGGTGGTGGCGGTGGAAAACAAGCCCACCCTCCTGACCCCGCCAGGTGCGGCGTCGCCCGGCGCTTTCTGGCCAGGCTGGAGGAGCCCGGGGGGCTCCTGCACGTGAGAGCGACCCTTCGCTCGAGTGACCTCTGCTGGGCGGCGGCCTGGGGAGACCAGGCCGCTGGTTAAGGCCTCGGGCTGCGCACAGACAGCGCCGCCAGGCAGACCCAGCCGGCCTCGACAGGCCCCCCGTGGAGTCCCAGCCGGCCTCGCAGGGCCCCCCCCAGGGCTCGCTTCGATTCCTCCGATTCGATTCGATTCGATTTCGATCGCTGCCGATTCCGATTCGATTCGACTTGGGATTCCGATTTGGGTTCCGATCTCTCAACGGAGGCCTATTGGCCTGCTGATTTCCGCCGATTCGATTCTTCCCGACTCGGTTGCCGATTTCCGCCGATCCGATGGATCTCCATCGCCAATCCGACTCGTCGATTCGATTCGGGGCTCTCCTGCCCCGAGGAGTCCCAGCTGGCCTGGCAGGTCCCCCCAGTGGTCCAGGGCGGCCTCCACGCCCCAACACCGGGGCGCGGAGCGCCCCGGGTGCGCTGCCGGAGGAGGCGGCACCGAGGTGCTGGGACTGCCCTGGGCGGCGCGGGGGGCCGGTCGAGGCCAGCTGGGGCTCCTCTGGTGGGAGGGAAGCACGTCCACATCCCACGGCCTCGCGGGCTGGGCCCCCTGGGCCGCGATTGCATGGATAGGGGGAGTTTGTTCGCGGATGCCCCGCGCGGAATGTGTCCATGCGACCGCGTATCCACGGGATCGCGCCCTGGGATCCAGACCGCGAGGGTGTGAGGGTGGATATGCTCGCCGCTCATGATCCTCGGGGGGCCTGTCGAGGCCAGCCAGGACTGCCTCGGGGGGGGGAGGGGCTCTCTGTGCACCACGGCCACCAGGCCGCCACTGCAGCGATCGGCACTCCGCGCACCAAAGGTCAGTCGCTGCCTCGGGCACTCTTCTGCACGCGGCCGAGAGAATCGAGCAGCGGCGAAGCGTCCTGCCTTGCCCCTTGCCTATAGGCCCACCAAAGAATGCTCCTGAGAACCTCTAGTGGTTTGCACGGAATGTCCTTGGAACATTTGTGGTTGAGATTGAGTTTGCCTTATATTAGCACATCGGGTTAATTTCCTAAGAACATTGCTGTTGTTATTATTGACGCTCCGCGTATCCCCACCAGCCGGCGGTCTGCCACTGACCTCCCCCTCCTCGGGGATCTCTCTCTGGCCGTCTGGTGGTCTGCGCCTCGCATTCCGCCTGCCGCCTGCCCCCCCTCCCCGCTTGGGGTCGACGGACACCTGGTCCTCCCCCTCGCTGCCCCTTTCTTTGGGCTGTGCCTCCCGCTTCCTGGGCGTCTGCCGGTCGCAACTGCCTCTCCGGCTTCCCCGCCGTTCCCCGCCCTCCGGCCCTCTGGCCGTTCCCCCTCGCCTTGCAGCATGGGCGGTACTCGCTTCCACCGCTGCCCCTGGACACCACTCGGTGTCCGGCGATCCGGATCTCTCCGTTGAGCGCCCGCATGTCCAGTCTTTCCTCCGTGTCGGGGGTCGCCGTCTTACGTCCGCCTCCCTGGCTTTGTCCACGGAGTGCTGTTCGTCTTGCTGGCGGTTTTCTTCATCTGGGACGTGGTTGGCTTCTTGAATTACCACCTGGTGTTGCACGCCGCCCGGAAATTCCTTCCTCTTGGCGCTCGCACTCCTCTGAGCGGCAGTGAGGCTCGCCTCCTGTTTGTCTCCCTCCTGCTCGTTCTCGTCCTCTTTCCGCCCCTCTTCCTCCCTTGCGCTAATTTAGGGTGCTGCTTGCTTGCAATGCCCTGGACGCCGTCCGGCTTTCCTTCGCCGCGGTCGCGACCCCAAAAGTATCCCCGCCAGCCCATCCAGAAACGATGCCGAGAGTTGACGGGGTGAGAGGGGAAGACACACGCATAGTCAAACAGCGAGGGGGGATTGGGAGGTTCCGTGGCCATCTCGAGCCGTTTCGGAGCGGTCTTGGGGCCGCTCGGAGCACCTGGGGAGCCGCCTCGAGCCAGCTTGGGCTATCCCTGAGCCGTCCTGGAGGTCGTCTTGGGCTCTCCGTGTCCGCTCGGGGGCCTCCTCGGTGCTGGACCATCCGGAGGATCTGAGAGCGCATGTCGTGGCAGGCCTGTAGGAATGCCGGGGCGGCCGGCCCCGGCTCCAAAGGAGCAAATGGGCGAACGGGCGGCGGGCCAGCTCGACGCCATCTTCGCCGAGACGCACGAGGCGCCGCGTAGAGGGGCCCCCCAAACCGAGGGTGGCGGCGGGGCCCGGCGGGGGAGGTTCCCTTGCAGTCTCGGCGCGGCCGGCGCCGGGCGTCGCGGGCGTACCTGGGTGAGGTCCGGCGTCGGGAACCCAGACACGATCGCGCCGTGCAGAAAACAGGACCGGAGTTTTTTTTGCCAGTTTCGGCCCCGGGGGCCCTCGCCAGGCCTCGGGACCGTCAAAAAACGACTCAGGATGAAAAACGATTCCCCAAAAGAGGATCGGGACTTCAGGGGGCCCGTATTGAAAAAACAGGACGTCGCATGTCTGGGAAGGAACGAGGCCCTGAGGAGACCGGGTGCTTCGAAGATGAACAGACGCCACATGCATAAATTTTTGGCGCTCCGCACGGATGCCCTGGATCGGCGTATGGGCCCCCCCGGCGGCGCCTCCGGCGCCGCCCATGTCGCGCTGCGCGCGCCAAGGGGGGGGGGTCCAGCGCAGATCCTAGATATCCTCGCGCAGCGCCAACTGTTTATGTTTTGTTAATGCAGCTTTTTCTTTTTCTAGGTGGCGGACGTTTTTTGGCTCAGTTGGCCCCCGCCCTTCACTCCCCCGAGGGCGGTTCCAGGTCCCTGGGGTCGTAATTAACAGCAATGGCTCTGGAGGACAGGCTGGTCCTTGGAGAGGTTCTGGGGTCCATGACCATTCCTTCCAGAACCTATGGTTTTCATGCCAAATTCGAGCGTCCGAGGTTTCATTATTCAGCCCCAGGACTCTTGAGATGACGAGGCGAGATGATAGGTTCGGCAACTTGTTGGAGGCTGGGGTCGGGAGCCTCTTGGGGGCCCTGGGAAGGCACGTTTCGACCTCCGCCCTCGCTCCCAAGCCATAGCCAAGTCATAGCAGCCACCAGCTTTCTGGCATCCCTCCAAGCTTGCGTCGGGTTTGGCACGGATTGGACCACGGAGGGGTAGTGGGGGCAGCACAGATGGTGGGGCGGAGTAGGAGAAAAATAGTATTTGCAGTAGTTGTTGCATAGATGCAATAGTTCGCTTCCTGGACGCGATAGTGGCGCGTGAATTGCAGTCGTGTATTTCGGACCCCCCCAGCAAGAGTTCGCGCAATAGTTCGAGCAAAAGGGGTGTCCAAAATCGTATTGTGTTACGCTTGTGGGCGACAGAGACTGCAGTCCGCTCCACGATGGCGGGAATTAGCTGCAGGCTGGAATCGCTGCCTGGCCCCATGACCCACAGAAATGGGGTCGACAGCCTCTGGATCTCAGCAGCGGGAATCTTGCAGGATTGGAGGGTAGGACCCTGTGTTGGAGAATAGAGACCACTGACCGCACCATGATGGCAAGGACAACCGAGGGCAAGTCACCGAGGGCAACCCGTTGGTTGGCCAGGGGCCCAGGGGGAGGAGGAGGAGGAGGAGGAGGAGGAGGAGGAGGAGGAGGAGGAGGAGGATGCGAAGGAGGTGGAGGAGAGGGAGGAGGAGAAGGACGAGGAGGAGGAGGAGGAGGAGGAGGAGGAGGAGGAGGTGGGAGGAGGGACGAGGGAGGAGGAGGCGGAGGAGGGAGGAGGGAGGAGGGAGGAGGGAGAAGGAGGGAGGAGGGAGGAGGGAGGAGGGAGGTGATGAGATGAGACCAGTCGCGAAGCGAGTACTATGAACACTGCCTCTGAGCTTGCCGAGGGACGAGACGATGATGTAGCACACCACGATTACAGTGTAGCCCACCCGCACCGAATACTGCCTAAGAACCTAGCGCGAAGCGCCATGAGCGAGAATTACCTGCAGCACGATGCGGCACTCCACGAATGGTACATGACCCCGACGAGTTCCCCCAGCCACGCTTTGAAGTACGCTCAACCTGCTGGGATGTGCTTTAGATGGGCACAAAGGCCCCCGGGACCACTGCCACCAGCAGACTGGGACGGACCGTCCCGAAGAAGACAGAGTAGGAAAACGCCCAACCAAGGCCCATGACTATTGCTGCTTACACTGCGGTTGCTCCTCAGACAGCGGCGCGATACTACGGAGCGCCTTCCGAAATCTGGCCTTGACCGCAGAAGCTACATTTGAATAGCCACAGTCGTCTTCATCGCGGTCCTCTCCACGATCTCGGCAACCAGAAATTGCACGCCCAGCAAGACCTCGTTCTCGGAAAGAGTCGGCGTCCCTGATCTCAGCGCCCACGCCAGAGCCTGAAGCCGAAACATGGCCGACATCAGCATTAGAGCCTGAGGCTGGAGAGGCACCACCACCCTCGCGAACAGCGACAACCACGCGTAGTGTTGCCGCCTTGGTGGCACGGATGCGGTCGACCTCCACCTTGATGGTTGCCGCGTATGCCTCCTCAGAGTGAAATCCATGAACGGCCGCTTGCTGACTTGCCTGGCGTTCGTCGTGCTGAACAGGCGGCGCTGGAACATGAACCACTTGGGGAGGAGAAGCCTGGGATGACGACTCAGCGCGGCACCGAACCCAGATGCCCACTTCCGAGATGCCATTCGTGTGTTTGTGCCGTGTGTCTGCTGCGAGGTGAACGGAACATGTTTGCTTGATCCATTTCATTTGTGACAGCAGGACGTCGGAAACGAATAGTGGCATACTGTTATGTTCATACGCATGCAGGATGATGCGGACCTTCAAGATACCAGGGGTGGCAGCTTTGCCGACCACCACGTGCAAGGCGCGCCCATAGTCGGTGATCTGTTTCGCAACCCAATACAGACGTGCAAGGACTGGCATCGAGCAACGTGCGAGAATTCAAGTGGTGAATATAGTAATTGAGCGGGCAAATGCCCGAGCGAAATGGTTGCTAAGAGGGAGCAGAGAGGAGGGAGGAGGGAGGAGGTGGGAGGAGGGA